GGGGGCGAATAGCACAGGGGGGAGCAATACATGTATCCAGGGGTGCCGATGATCTATGTCTTCGGCGAGGCTCCTGGGCGAATGCGTGTAATGCCCGCCCCTGGGCTATTCGCCCCCATCGTCGCCGCCGATGTTCTCCTCACGCGCCCAGGCGCTTCTGTGCCCTAGAAATCGAAGAACAAAAAACGGCATCAACATAGACTTGTGGCGCTCCGCGCGGATCTCTTGGATCTTCGCTGGGGAGATCCAAGAGCGCCAAACGTTAATGTTTATACCGTTTTTTCTTCTAAAGAAGAGCTTCTTTATTTTGCTGGTGTTCCTCATGATAGCAGCTTGGAGCTTGACGACCCCCCCTGTAGGTTGCACATGTGCTCTGACGCTTCCAGATGGCCTCCAGAAGCTCCGACGTCGCCGAGGCATCGGGGATGCTTTGGCGATGCGACGCGATCTTCCGACCCCCTCGACTCGAACCCCAGTTGGGGGGCCTGTTTCCCAGCCCCTTAGTGAGGAAACCACAAGGTACCGATACCACCACTCGTCAGACCTCTCCTGAGGTTCGTTCTGACCAAAATTTCGAAGCGGTGGCGACGAGGGCCGCCCAGGAGACCCAAACAGCATGGGTACCTTTCCTTCTTCCGAGATAGTGACACCGTGAGGCTTGCTTGGGAACGTATAATGCGCAGGTTGGGCCGCCCGCAGGGTGGCACAGATGATCGCGCCTCAGCGCCAAGCCGCCCCGCGCTTCAGCGTTTCGCGCGCCGCGCCGCCGACGACGGCGATCCCCGCGGCCACGCTCGCGACGACCGCGTCGCCTGGCAGCACGGCGACGACGAACAAGACGACGACGACAAACAAGACGACGAAGACGACGACGACGACGAAAACGACGACGACGGCAGAGGCGTCGGCCGCGGCGACAAGCCACGGCGACGAGCCACGGCGGCGGCGACGTGCCCGGCTCGAGGCCGCGCCGCGCGCGCGCCAAGCGCGCGCCGAGCGCCGCGGGCGTCCCCCCGCGGGGCCCGCCCGGCCCGGCCCCATCCCGCGCACTGGCGACCGCGCCCGCGCCCGCGCGGTCGTGGTAGACGTCGTCGTGGTCGTCGTGGTCGTCGTCGTCGTTTTCGCCGTCGTCGTGGTCGTTCTCGTCGTCGTGGTCCTCGTCGGTGTCATCGTGATCGATGTCGTCGACGTCGCGTCGTCGTCGTGCTCGTGGTTGTCGGCGTGGAGGGAGGCCAGAGGGGAAGAGGAAGAGAGCGGGGGTGATGATGATGATGATGATGAGGATGATGATGTTTATGATGACGATGACTAAGCTGACGAAGATGATGATGTTGTGGCTGATGATGAGGACGAGGACTAGGAGGAAGAGAACGATGAGGGTGATGATGATGATGATGGTGGTGCTGGTGGTGGTGGTGATGGTTGTGATGATGATGCCGATGCTAATGAGGATGACCACAGTAACGATGACTCTGACGATGTCGACAGTGCTGATGTTGTTTTGATGATGATGATGATAATGTTGCTGCTGCTGATGATGCTGATGACGAATATTCTGATTACGATGATGACGATGCTGCTGATGATGAAGATTACGATGACGACATTAATGATGATGATGCTGATGATGACGATGATGATGCTGATGAGCCTGACTATGATGATGATGATGACGATCATGCTGATACTGCTGCTGATGATGCTAATGACGTTGTTGGCAAACCTATTTGGTGGTCATGATGGATGATGATGGTGGTTATGATGATGATCACGACGATGATGATGCTGATGCTGATGCTGAAGATGACGACAACGCCGATGACGATGACGATGATCATGATGCTGATGATGATGATTATGATGATGATAATGCCGATGATGGTGGTTGTGGTGGTTATGACGAGCCGGTGCTTACGATGATGATGGTGGTGCTGACGGTGATGGTGGTGATGATGATGATGGTGATGTTGTTGATGATGATGATGATGAAGATGATGATGATGATGATGCTGATGATGATGATCATGATGATGATGCTGCTGAAGACGACGATGATGATGATGATGATGATGCTGACGATGCTGCTGATGATGATGCTGACGATCTCGATGAACATGCCGATGTTGATGCTCATGCCGCTGATGCTGATGCTGATGACGACGATGATGATGTTGATGCTGATGCGGCTGCTGATGCTGATGCTGATGCTGCAGATGATTATGATGACGACTATGCTGATGATAATGATGACTATGCTGATGATGATGCTGACGATGATGATACTACTGCTGGTGATGATGCTGATACTGATGATGATGATGTTTTTGCTGATGATGAGGATGATTCTTACGATGATGATGCATATACTGATGCTGATGATGATGCTGCTGATGCTGCTGATGATGATGGTGATGATGACGATGATGCTGATGATGGTGTTGATGCCGATGCTAATGAGGAGGAGGATGAGGAGGAGGAGGAGGAGCAGGAATAATAATAGTATTAATAATAAGAAGAAGAAAGGGAATAATAATAATAAGAAAAATAATAATGGCAATAATAATACTAAGACTATTAACAATAATAATACGAATAATAAGGAGGAGGAGGAGGAGGAGGAGGAGGAGGAGGAGGAGGAGGAGGATGAAGGAGGAGGGAGGAGGAGGCAGGAGGAGGAGGAAGAGGAGGAGGAGGAGGAGAAGACGGGGAAGGAACAGTAGCACAGGGGCAGGAACATAGTGCAGGAGGAGGGAGCAGGAGGGGAAAGGAGTTGGAGGAGTTGGGGGGCGGAGGAGGTGGGGGGTGGGAGGACGACGAGAAGCGATGGTCATGAGTGAGAATATGGTGGGGTGCCGACTTGCAGAAGCAGGAAGGGATCATTCGGGCCTGAGTGGTCTGGGGCTGCCACCAGAGTCGCTACTTCCCTCTGTGCTGACCACCAGTTCCCCCCCCGCCTCCCCCCTATCTGCCTCCGCGACCCACCCTCCTCGTCCATCCCTTCATTCCCCGCCGCCCGTTCTTTTCTTCCTCCTCGCCTCCCCTTCCCGCCTCCCCTTCCCCTCCTCCCCTTCCCGCCTTTCGCTCCTCCCTCCCCGCCTCCCCCTACTCTTTCTTGCCTCCCTTGCTTGTGATGCTTCCCGCCTGGTGTTCCGGCTCGCTGACACGAGGCGGGTTCTACAGAAGCCAGCGCGTGCTTCCCGGAGCGGAGAGGTGAGTCGCCAGAACAATGGGGAGAGCAGCGTCAGGGGGAGAAGCTGGACGGCAGGATGGAGGCAAGGGAGGTGGGCGGACGCAGAAGTTGGTAGAGACTGGGGATGAGAGCGTGAGGAGGAGGAGGAGGCGGAGGAGGAGGAGGATCAGGAGGGGGTGGGAGAGGGAGGGCCCTGACAGGAGTGCCGCTTCGTTGGTGCTTGCTTTGTGCGAGCCGCCGCCCAGCCCCCCAGGCGTTGTGTACATAAACAGGTGCCGCGGCCTCCGGAGGGGCTGGGGCACTCTCCTGCTCCGTGCCCGGTGCTTCTTTGCGGAGCTCTTGGGGCCTCCCCTTCCCCCGGCCTCGCCCCTCCTCTCCCGCCCTCGCTTCCCCTCGCCCCTCCGCCCCTCGCCTCCCCTCGCTTCCTCCTCTCGCTCCACCCCCCTCGCCTCCCCCCCTCGCCTCCCCCCCTCGCCTCCCCTCGCCTCCCCCCCTCGCCTTCCCCCCTTGCTTCCGCCTCTCTGCGCCTCCCGTCACATGCCATCTCTCCTCTCCAGCTCTCTCCTCCCTCTCCTCCACTTGGGAGCGGGGAGGGAAGTTCGATCGAGAAGGGCCGAGGGTGGCAAGGAAGCGACAGGGCACACGAGGGAATGGGGGCCCTCAAGCTGGGAACACGTCGACGGTGGGCGTGACAACATTGAGGTTCTTCATAGCAGATGATCTGTCGCCAATGGTCTCTCCTGGGTTGCACCTCCTTCTGCCCCGCCTTCCCCCTCCTTCCTCCTATCCTCCCCCTCCTCTCCCTTCTTCCAGGCCAGGAGGGGCCCTGCTCTCTCTCTCTCTCTCTCTCTCAGCCCCCCCCCTCTCTCGCACACAATCGCATCACACAACTGTTCTGAATCATCAAGCCTGTCCCTGTGCTCACTCTTTGTCACTCGCCCCGGCTCTCGCCGAGGCCCCGCGTCGCCAAAGCCGGACGCGGCTCACGCAGCTTGCCATGAGGGGTTCCTGGAGTTCTAGGCCTCCCAGATGGGGTCCGCGTAGTTGGGGTCGGAGGATCGCGCCGCATTGCCGATGCATCGACGATGCGGCTCGATGTGGAGCCCGATCTCCTTCACGTCGACGTCACCAATGCATCGCCCACGTCGACGATGCATCGGCGATGCACTGGCGATGCGGCGCGATCCTCTGACCTCATGTGCTCGGTCCCCATCTGGGAGGGCTTGAGGAGTGGGCAGGGGATCGGTTCTGAGCGGGCTCTCGCAGGCAGGAAACGTGCGCAGTTTCTCTGGGGCGCGTGTGGGATCAAGTAAGTTTAAGTCAGGCCCGTCCCTCTACAGGAGGAATATTCAACAGTAGCTAAGACATAGTCTGGGGACGATGCTTTGGCCACATTTGAACATGTGTGTGGTATCTTGATTTTTTCGCCCCAGATCGCACTGTAGGGGGACAGGCCCGACCTGAAGCAAGTACGTTCATGGCGGGCACATCGTGCCGTGCTGTCAGGGTCCAGCAGCCGCCCGGCGACGGATGGCCCCCGCTGCCCTGGTCCGCAGGCCTTGGGCCCCGTGCGCGGTTCTAGCACGGAGGGGCTCCCCCCTATCTTTCAGTCGGGCACGTCCCTCTACAGGAGGAATATTAAAACATAGTTTAAATAATAGCATGGGGAATACTGTTTTACCACTCTTGATTTTCTTTGTGGTATTTTTGGTGTGTTTGGTTTATCTTCAAATCCGCCTGTAGTGGAACATGCCCGACCTAACTCTACCTCGCTGCCCCCCTGCTGCTTCCGGGCGAGGGGAGGCGCCCCATGGACGTGCCCGCAGCGGTCTGCCAGAGGGCGAGACACGCGGCCGACACCCAGGATGATGTCAGCATCCATCCCTGGGAGCAGCTCGTGTACTCCCTGCGCACGCAGGCTCCGCTCCGAGATCGGGCATCAAGCCCGAGGCAGAAGGGCACCGCCCACCCAACCAACCCAACCCAACCCGAGGGCCCCGAGTTGCTCTTCGTTTCCAGTGGGGCGGGGGTCGGGGAACATGGACAAAGCACGTGTGAAACCCGCAGTTCCCCCCCCCCAAGCCCGAAATTCGAGTCTTCGGGTTGGGCTGGGGGGGGGGGTGTAGGCAGTCAGCAGGCGGGCAGGCGGGGGCAGGGCGGGGAGGCGCGGCCCGGGCGAGGCGAGGCGGGGCGGCCACGGGGAGGGGGGGCAGCGCAGGCCGGCGTTGGGGGGATGCCCCGGGGCCTCGGGCGGGCGGCAACTCGGGGGCCCCCAGACGGGGTGGTGACCACACCGTGCGGTGAGTCGATGGGGTGTCGGGGTCACCGCACGGTTTTGGGACGTCTCGGGCGCCTGGGCCTCCCAGGTCCCAAAACCGTGCGTTGATGGACCGTGCGGCGAGGTCTCGGGGGATTTCGAGGTCACCGCACGGTCTGTCACCGCACCGTTTCGGGACTCCAAACAAATTCGAGCGATCGAAAACATGTATCAAGGGTGGTCGGATTAGCGACGGGTCCGGACATCGCGGATTTTCGTCGCCGAGCGAGGCGGCACTGGCCGCATTTTGGGAAGGGCACCTCCCCCGGTCCATGGATTTTGGCGACTGTGCGAAAAATCAATGGATCGCTAATCCATGTTTGCGCGCCCCCAACAAATGAGGAGTGAAGAAAGTGGCCCCAAAGGGGCATTTTAGGGTCCCTGTTGGGCCCCTGCTGGCGCCAAAAGGGGCCCTAAAGTGCGTCACCCCCCATGACTATCCGCCTGAGACAGAGGGGGGGTTGTACGGTCGGACCGGGGGATAAGATCGCGTGGTCGGCTCGTGGAAAATACTCTCGTGTTCTTCGTGCCTCTCGTGTGCTCTTGTGCATCCTGGGGAAGGGGGTATCCTTGGTGTTCTTCTGTTTGAAAGCTGGCGGAGTGTCTCGTGCTCTGGAAGAAGGTTTTTGTTGTCCTCGGCCCCGCCGTATGTTGACTCCCGAGTTCCACATCACGTCCTGACGCGCCGTTCGCCTACCCTCTGCTGTTTGAGGTGCTCCGTTCCTCTAGCAGTGTATCGTCCTGCGCCTTGCCCCGTTGATCGGGGACGCGCGAGCATGGCTTCCGTCGCGTGGATCAGCGACGGGTCCCGCTGCTGTACAGACTCGGCGCGCCCCGTCGCCCCATCGAGCGGCATTGGCGCCATGCTCCGGGCGGTGCGTTACCCGATGTATGGATGCAAGGGCTCCCTCGAGGGCGCGAAGTTATTCGCGCTTCGCGCTTCGCGGTCCTCGTTCCTTCTCCCCCTCCTCCTCGTCCTCCTATTCTCCCTTTGGGAGGGCGGCGCGAGAGCGCGAAGTTATTCGCGCTTCGCGCAGCGCGAAGCGCGAAGTTGGGAGCCCTTATGGATGTGGCCTCCCCCCGCCGGGTCCACGGATCCGTAATCCATGCCAGCGTGTGCCCGAGTTGCGATCGCGTGTCTCAGACCATCCTGTGGTGTTGCGTCCTCGTTTTGAAGCGACGGCGTCCCTTGTCATCTTTCCTCCTCCCCCTCCTCCCTCCTCCCATCCCCTGTCTTTGCCTGGCTACCTGCAACGAGTGTGCCGACATGCATGCCAGGCGAGAGGCTACTCTACATCCTCTTGATTCGGGTGCACAGACCCGCCTCTCGTGACCTCGTGTAGTTGTGGAGCATGCTGGCATGCATGTGACCCACATGGTCGCCGAGGCGCTTGCCGAGCTGGATGGCCTCCCGCGTCCCCTCCTTCTCCTCCTCCTCCTCCTCCTCCTCCTCCTCATCCTGCTCCTCCTCCTCCCCCTCCTCCTCATCCTCCTCCTCCTCCTCCTTCTCCCCCTCCCCCTCCATGTTCCTCCCCTTCCGTCGTCCTCCCTCCTCGCCGGGGAGTTTCCCGCGAGCTGGTTGTTTGGACCAGGTGGTGCAGTGTCTCCGCTGTGCGGCCTGGCTGCTCCGAGCCGCCGCACACAGACGTGCTGGCAGGAGCGCGCTGTCCGGCCCCGCCCCGTACTGGACACGTCGTGATGAGCTCGACGCTCTGCGCACCCATCGGTCGTTGCAGACAGGCATTTCTGGATTCCCAGATTCCAATCTGCTTTGAGCGCCGTCCCACTTCGATGATCGAGTGGCTTCATCTTTTCCGCCCTCCGAGGGGGGGCGGACGGAGCCCAATCTACTTTCCACGCCTTCCTACTTCATGTTTTTAGCCAGTTCTTCCGGCCGATGGGTAGTCCCACCAGCCACGATGCCCAGGCGGGTGGCCTTGATCAGGAATGGGGAGGAACATGCAGTGGCAGACAGGGTTGGGGAAGCCGTCATACCCTCAGAGGGGGAGGATCGAGGCGGAGTCGGCGGAGGGGGGGGGCAGAAGGGAGGAGAGGGGGATGAGGAACAGGGGGATGAGGAAAAGGAGGAGGGGGAGGAGGAGAAGGGAACGCAGACGCCAGGAGGAGAAGGGAACGCAGACGCCAGGAGGAGAATGAGGAGGAAGAAGTGGAGGAGGAGGAGGAGGAGGGCGAACAGAAGGGCCAGCGGCCTCTTGGGGTGTCTTTGGGCTCTCTTGGCTGTCCCGAGGGTCTCTTGGGGCGTGTCGGGTGCCTCTGGGGGGCCTCTTGGGGCATCTTGGGGGCCTCTTGAGGGGCCTCTTGGGGCCGCTTTGGGCAATATTGAGTCCTTCTTGGGGACCTGTTTTGAGCCTTGGAGTCCTTCGTAGCACCATCTTTGAGGATATCAGGTCAACGAGGGAGTCCCTGATGAGCGCCCCGCGCGCCCCCCCCCACGGAGCTCCAGAAGTTATTCTTTGGGGCACTACTGGGGCCGTATATGGCCTCCCTTGGGGCAATGTTGGGCCATTTTGGAACCATCTTGAGGTCTCGGGAACCCATCTGAAGCGAAAGGGTGAGAAGGCTAGTCTCCTCGTTCCAATGGTCGTTGAGCGATTTTGGCATCTCGGGGGCCTCCTTCGGGATCTGCGTTGTCACTTGGACCTATATTTGAGCCACCATGGGATTCCTTGGAATCATCTTGGGTGCCATCTTGCGCCAACTTGGACCCTATGGCGCCATCTTGGACGGCATCTGGAAGCAGCAGGTGCCACGTTGAAGCCCCTTCTGGGCCAGCAGCCTCCCAAATAGGCACCCGAGAAACCACACACCGTGTAAAACCCTGGTGATGTTCCACTCTTCGTTGAGTCAAAAAGGGGGGAGCTCAATTAGCGCCCCCCCCGGTGTATTCCCCACCGTTGTTTTGTAGGGGCCGTCCTAAGGCGCTCTTGGACGCTAGTGGGGCCGCCTTGGGGCCGTCATGTGCCCCTCTTCGGGCCATCTTGGGCCCTCTTGGAGCCATCGTGATGCCTCGGAAAGCCCTCGGAAGCGACAGAGCGAGAGGGCCGCAATCATTGGTCGTCCGTAGGTTTGGAGGATTTGGGCCTTTGGGGGGCGACCTGGGGAGGCCTCTAGCCCACTTTGACCCGTCTTGGAGGTGCCTTGGGACCTCGTGGACCATGTTGGAAGCCTTCTTGAGTCATTATGCGCTATCTCTGGCCATATTGGGGGACATCTTGGACTCTCCGAGGCCCTCTTGGAGCCAGCTTGGGCAAATCTTGGACGCTCTAACGAGCCGCGGGGCGTGAAGCTGGATGGGGTCAAGCTATCCATCCGTCCGCAAGCAGTCTAGCTCACTCCCACCCGCCCTCCCAACACATAAGTAACGCCCGAGCCTGCGCATTATTCAGCAGTCGTCTTTGGATGGACAGCTACTGGGACCCAACGTCGGCCCCAGGCGAGCGATGCTGGGGCGAGGTGCGCCACGCGTGCCAGGGGCGCCACGCGCGCCAGGCACCCCTGGGGCCCGAGCGTGCCAGGCACGCCTGGTGCGCCAGATGCGCCACGTGCTCCGAGTGCGCCATGTATGCCGCACACTCCAGCCGCGCCAGGTGCGCCATTTTCGGGGCACGTGCAGAGTGCGTCAGGTGCGCCTGCGCACGTGACAGCACACATCGGGAAACATGTCGGGCCCCACCATCCTTATCGAAAACCAATGCCCATCATTGTGTCTGGTGGGCCTGCGCACAGCAGGCCACGCGCCCCCCCCCCCGCCGTCCCTGTCAAAAACCACTTGACAGTGATTGCGGGGTGGCCGCGCACGATCCAGATTTAGCTCCGAGGTGCATTTGGTATCGTATCTTGTCAGGAATGGTAGTCCGGCGCACAGCAGGGAATATGCTGACACCCCCGCCGTCCCTGTCAAACACAATACAAAGTGCTGGTGGGCCTCACGGACATGACCCAGGACTTTGCCCCCAAGTGTATTTTGTTTGACAGGGCTGGTGGGCGGGGGCGCATCTGGTTGACCGCGCATGCTCCACATGTGGAGGCAAAGTGCGTTTTGTATTGTTTTTTGACAGGGCTGGTGGGGGGGGGCTCGCTTGGGGTCGGCATGTTTGCGGGTTGGTCGCCGGCCGGCCGACGCCTGTTTCACATCTGTCACGCCAACGCCTGCGAAAAGTTGCTTCTCTGATTGGCCAGGATCGATTGGGGCGTTTGTTGGAGGGACTTGATCCCAAGCGTATTGTGTCGCTCTCGCCTGTCGCTCCCGCAAGCCAGTCCCGCAGACCTAGCTTACAGCTTGAGATGTCGTACTGTTTCCATCTAGCATGCCGCTTGTTTAGGCTGCCTATGTTGAACCCTGCGTGCTCCTCCGCCGCCCAGTACAGGACGGCGGGGCCGCGCATCAGTCGTGCCTTCGGCTTTGCGTTTCACCCTTCTCTGCCGGGACTTGCCTACCTGGAGGCAGGCCAATCCAGTTTTCAGTTTCCCTGCTTCTGCTTTCCGCGTGTCCATTTCGGGACACACCTCGCATATTACGTGTCCGCATGGGGAGCTCTACCGAAGCCACCCATTTTGGCACTCTGCTCATACGTTCCGTGGCCCCATGGGGAGCTCCACCGACGCCCCCAGGGGTGGCGCCTTATAGCGCCTGCGCGCCCATTACGTCGCACCACTCGAACGTTTCGTGTGCCTGATAGCGTCTCCCAACCCATCTTGCCACACCTCTCTAACGTTTCGTGGCCGTAGTGGGAGTGCCACCGAAGAGCTCGGGACGGGTGCCTTCTGGCGCTCCTGGCCCATTTCGGCACAGCCCTCATTCGCTTCGTGGCCTCACAGGGGCTCCCCCCGCCCGTAGGGATCTCCACCGACGCCCCCGGGGGGTGGTGCTTCATGGCGCCTCCACCCGTTTCGGCATGCCCCGCACGATCCCTGGCCCCATAGGGAGTTCCAGCGATGCTCCCAGGGTGTGGTGCCATATGCCCCCCCCAGCGCATGTCTGAGCACCGTTCACACGATTCGTGGCCTCGTCGGGAGCCCCATTGAAGCCCCTTGAATGTGGTGCTCCATCGCGTCCCCTATCCCACTGCGGCGCACCTCTGTCGCGTTCCGTGGCCTCATTGGGGACTTCACGGTGTATAGAGGAGCACCTGGCGCACCCCCGTGGGTGCATCCAGTGCGGTTCCCTTGCGTGCCGGCGCACCCCTCGCACCGAGGGCCCCTGGGGAGTGCTGGAGTCTTGCTTCTACAGCGCGCCCCCGCCCTGTGTCGGCACGCCACGCACACGCTTCGTGGCCCCACAGGAAGGGGGCCTCCACCGACGCCCCCTGGGGGTGGCGCCTCACGGCTCCCCCTGGCCCACGTCGGGGCAGACCCCTCAGCCGTTACTCGCCGTTACTCGCGGCCTCATAGGGAGCTCCACCGAAGCCCCCAGGGGGTGCGCGCGTTTCCCTCCCCCCCCCTCCCCACAGGGAGATTTCCTCCGTCGTACCACGTGCCTCGAGGTGTGCACACTTGCATATTGGTGGGTCCTTCGTCGGGACAATTCGCAGCATTACGAGTGGGCGAGGGCCGTCAACACTGGTGAGAAGTGGGCCTCCAGGCACTGTTTTTTGAAGAGTCCCTTGCTCTGGAATCTGTTGGGGACCGCAATTCGTTTGCCTCGCTTGGGTGTGCCACGGGGTCGCAAGGTAAAGTGGGGACTCTGAGAGTATCCCACAAGTAGTCATGTTCTCGTCCGATATTGGCAGTGCGCAACTCATGTGCAGTAGGGCCATGGCTCAACACGTTGTTGTTTCTCACCGCCCTCGGGAGATGAGACGGAAAGTGTTCGCTATTCCTTGTTTGTGCATGTCCCCTTCGTTGGTGTGGCAGCCATTACGGGGGCGAAACGTTTACGGGGATAACCCTATGCCATCGCCTGTTTGTCTGGAACCACCTTTCCTCCTCCTCCTCCTCCTCCTCCTCCTCCTCCTCTTCGTTCCCGTTCCCCCCCCTTTCCACGGCACCTTCTGACGAGGACCTTTGAAGGCGGACCCACTCGTGGCGACGAGGGCCCTCCCTCAGGCCTGGACTTGCGGCGAGCGAGGGGGGAAACAACAAGGAGAAGGCCTTCTCAGAAGGCGGCGGGACTTCTCAGAAGCCATAGCGCCTTCGGAGAATTCGTATCTGTCTCCGTCGAAGGCTCAGACAACTTATAAGAAGACCGGAGAGTTTAGAACCTTCTGAGAAGGCCTTCTCCTTCGCACTTCACCCCTCGCCAGCCGCCGACTGGAGATGTCGAAAAGCTTCCGAAAGCCACTCCTCCTCCTCATGATGGGCCAATTTTCCACCACCACTACCACTAGGTTGGACGGGGGAGAAGGGAGGACGGGGAGGTCCTCCTCCTCGTTTTCCTCTTCCTCTTCCTCCTCCTCCTCCTCCTCCTCCTCCTCCTCCTCCTCCTCCTCCTCCTCCTCTCCCCTCTCCTACCTACGGTAGTGGTGGCGCAAAATCGGCACCTCCTCCCCAGGTGACCTCGCTGACCCACAACGTCTCTGCGGCGCTCGCGGATGGGCTCTCCCACACCTTCGGCCTCTCCTGGCAGCCGACGGGCGAGCCCGTGTGGCTCCTCGGGAGGCGCGCGGCGCGCGCCCGCGGGCGGGTCCGGGCGCGCACGGCGCGCGAACGGCCCGTGCTGCGGCGCGCGCGCGCGGCAGGGCCGCGCGGCCAGAGCCGCCCTCTGCGCCTGCTCTCGCAGGCGACGTTTCCGCCCCTGCCCAGTCGGGGTTCTCGTCGGCACCGTTGTCGCGGTTGCAGGCGACCCGCATGATGAGGATCGGCAGCCTTCCCCATGGCTTCCTGATGTTCCAACCTGTTTTAGCCTGAATAACCAGAAAGATTTTCGAGCACCAAGAAAGCACCGAAACTGGAGGTTTTTCACGTGTCGGGCTCTGGGAAGCGATACTCGTTCGACACTGTTTCGATACTTTTCTGGGTGCTCGAAAGTATTTCTTGGATTTGGTCCTTCAGTGCGATGGGAGCAGCATAGCCTAGGGCACCCTTGCATCCTGACCTCCTCGGGCCACCCACCCAGTCAGGGCTATCGAAGAAGTGACACACAAACGCCACACGCATAAGCTTTTGGCCCTCTCCGCGCGGGTTTCTCGGCTCCGCACCGGGTCCCCCCCCCCGCAGCGCCTGCGGCGCCGCCCCTGGCGCGCTCCGCGCGCCAGAGAGGGGGGTCCAGCGCAGCTCCACGAAATCCGGGCAGAGTGCCGAGAGCTTATGCTCGCAGGCCTGGAGGTTGACACCAACACCAATATCGGCGGTGTGCCTCCACCGAGGGAAGAATATTCCGATCTCGGTGATGGTGGTGCTCTTCTGTCTTCCAAGGTGGCCGAACCATTACCACCAACACCGAGATCTAGGATAGTCTTCCTCCTGTGGAGCCAATCCCCTGTGTTGGTGGTTGCGCCCATTTCTGGGCCTCCAATGTGTTTGTCTCGTTTTGTCCCTCTTCTAGTCGGGGCGCTGCGAGGGCATAGAGGCCAGTCCTCGGGCCTGCCGCCTCTTACCCGCGTCCTGTGGCAGCGCCCGTCATCCCCTGCAGCTGCAGGGCCCAAGTACTATGATCACAACCGCGTTGATCGCAGGAGGAGGAGGAGGAGGAGGAGGAGGAGGAGGAGGAGGAGGAGGGGGAGGAGGAGGGGGAGGAGGAGGAGGAGGAGGAGGAGGAGGAGAGTCCTTCCAGGCAGACGGCTTCCGAAAGCGTCAGACGGGCCAGGCGCAACAGAGGAGCCAGCCAGACGGTCGACCGGGGCCTCTAGGACTTTCAGCGAGATGGCCCAGCGACGGCCCAATACAGAGGGGGCCCATGCCAAGAAACACGCTGCTTGCCTCCGGAGTGCCCCGGGTTTCTTCGGTTTCGATGGTTCTGCCATGGAAGGCGTGACGTTCCAACACCCACAAAGCGATGGGCATCCTGGGGTCTCAGGTTTGGGTTTCTGGCGGAAGGTTTCTTGTGGTCGGGGCTCTACTGTAAGGGGGGGCGAGCAATCAAAGGTGAGGTGGAGAGAGGTGCCCTTGTGGAACTAGACTTGGCAGACTCGAGCTGAGCCTCAGGATAGGCTGCGGAACGGGAGACAGCGATTCTGGCGAGAAGGTGCCCCATGACTCCGCGCCTGCCTGAAGGCTGGCATGCGTAGACGGCTTGTGAAGAAATTCTGATCACCTGGCGCCAGTGTCACGGGGGGTGGAAGTAGGTACATTTCAGTCGGGCGTTACCACCTACAGGAGGAATATTCAGAAAAAAAATATAAAAAGATAGCCAGGGGACGATGTGCCGATTTTTTGAGAATGTTGGATTCTCTTTTTTCCCGTCCAAAATCCGCCCGACCGAAAGGCACACCCTCTGTGTCCGAGAGGGGCCCAGCCTGGGCTTCCGCTTCCTGGGGGGCCCAACAGGGGCACGCGGGGTGCCCGCTTCTCGACTCCCCCCCCCCCATGTGTCGCCCCCCTTTACACTTAAGCCGGGTCCCTCTACAGGAGGAATCTTCGAAATTGTTCAACAAAAATAGTCTGGGGGCGATGTTTGCGACTATGTTTGACAATGTTTGGCTATGTTTGGCCATCTTTGATCAATGTTTCTTCCAAAATCCGCCTGTAGAAGGATACGCCCGATTTAACTTTACACGCCAGTCGTCAAGGTGTTTCTGGAGGCCCGGATCCCAACCTGTTCTAGGCGCGTTCCTACCTCAGGGCTCACTTCTGCGCCGATTCGATTCGATTCGATGCGACTCCGAGGGGTGTGCCGATTCCGATTCCGATTTGATGTCGGATTCCGACTCGGGACCCGATTTCTCAATGCAGGTCTCCTCGCCTGCCGCTCTCCGCCGATTCGGCTTTCCCCGGCTCGGCGGCCGATGTCCGCCGCTCCGACTCGCTTCGATCGCCGATGCGACTCATCGCTTCGAGCCTGGGGGGCGCCCGCGACTTCCAGGGTCGAGTGGCTCGAGGGCGGCGGGAGCCCAATCCGCGTCCACCGCCCGCCTGCTTTGGTGCTGCGGCCCACTTCGTCCCACCGACGGGCAAGCGCTGCGCCCGCGTGGCCGCCTGGGTGTGCGCGCTCTGGGGCGTGCCCCATCGGCCTCCTCCTCCTCCTCCTCCTCCTCCTCCTCGCTCTTCCTCCTCCTCCTCCTCCTCCCTCCTCCTCCTCCTCCTCCTCCTCCTCCTCCTCCTCTCTCCTTCTTCCTCTTCCTCCTCCTCCTCCTCATCCTCCTCCTCGTCCCTCCTCCTCCTCCTCCTCCTCCTCCTCCTCCTCCTTCTCCTCCTGCTCTCTCTCTCGGTCATGCCAGCCTCCTCGTGTCAGGCCCAGCGCAGGCGATCGACGTCGCCCAGCGTCGCATCGACGGGGCCGGGGGGGGGGGACTCGGCGGGTACCTGAAGGCAATGAGTTTGAAGCCCCTGGGAACCCCTGGGCCTCGTGAGGGGTGCTCTAGAGACCGTGGGGGCTTCCCTGGAGAATCCTGGGGGCGGGCGTTGAAGTCGTGATCTATGAACGAGGAGACCCCAGGACGGTCCCGCGCTGCACCCGACCTTGCGAGGTGCCGTCTCGCTGGTCTCGGATTTGTTTTTGCTGGAGGCCTGCACTGGCCAGGCTCAGTACAAATGGCCGTCTTGCTTGCCATGAGCCGCTTTGGTGGGGAGGTTGAGGCGGAGAGTTACAGAGAGAGGTGTGCCGCAGCAGGAGAACGGCGGGCGTCGCGCACGACCCAGCCACTCTGCGCATGCTCGCCGGCAGTGATCCGATACTGCGCGCGTGGAAGTCATGCCCTCCAGGGGTGCTTTGAGATGGCATCACCAGTGCTCCTTCAGAGCAGCAGCGCACCTGGAACGCATCCGGAGCCAATCTTGTTCCGGGCATCGTTCCCGCCCTTCCGTTGGAAGCGCCCTCTTTTTTTTCTTGTCGTGCGCGAGGAGGCCTCGGGCCTCCGACGTCGTGGCTGCCCAGTTCTGCGGGCTCCAGATCTCAGGGAGGAAAGAAAACACACAGACACAATTAATCGTCGACTCCCCTGAAAATGTGGGAAAAGATGGGCAGTGGGGGGGAAGACAAAAACCCAGAAAATCCCTGGGCGCGTGGCACGCGCTGCTCGCGGGCCATCCCCGGCCGAGCGGCCTTGTCCCAAAGGCCGATCCCCCTGTCAAGCCCGACGGGCCCTCTCGAGTTGAGAATGCCGCCGCGGGGCGCCCGAAGTGGGGAGTGGCGCTTGCCCTCCCGCGTTTGAAACACTCGCCCTGGGGCGGGTCCATCCATGGTCTCGGCGTCGGCCGCTGGGGCAGCGCACGGGCCGTGCATCGGTCAGACTCGGCAGCGCAGTAATGTGTCTCCTCGATGTTTTGGTCGCGTATGTTCCAGCGTAGGCGCACCCGCTTTGCATGCGGCCCACGCGCGCCGTCATTCGAGAAGGCCTTTTGAGTCGGCAGCGATCACCTGCGGGTAATTTCGCTCCCCGACAGCGCGTGCTTGCTCGTTATGACGACCGAGACACCCGAAAACGAATCTTCAGATTGGATTATCAATCTCAGGGACAGGGATATGATCGAGGCTGGCGATCAAAGGACGAGCTGGCCTACTCTTCATCAGCCACGCGCAGGGGGTGGTAAGGGAAGGGGGGAAGGCGTCTCAGAAGGAGGCTGCTCCTTGGGTGGCGCGGGCCTGATCTGTGGATACTGTCAACCCAAATCGTAAGGATGGGCAACCGTCCCAAGGGTATCTTTGCATCCTTGCCTCCTCGGCCCATCATTGTCCGCTTTCGTTGGCCTCGCCCCGCTGGAAAAGCTTCGACGTGGCCTTCCAAGGCCCTCGCATCCTTATCGCGCGTCCTTACTATACAGGCCGATTGTATCAGGCCAGCGCCTTCTAAGAAGCAACCTACTTCTCAAAGGCCACCCCCCCCTCCCCCCTGCCCAGCCCCCTCCTCTTCCCCTACCCCCTGAGAAGCCTCTTCTCCTCCCTCCTCGTTTCCGCTCGTTCCGAATCGTATGCCCGCGGCAGCCTCGGCCTCACTTCCTTGCTCCCGCTCGTTCCGAACCGTGCTCCCGCTGCAGCGTTGGCCTCACTTGCAGTGCCCTGCCATGGCATGCAATGCAATGCCATGTTGTGGTCCGCTGTGCGATACCATGCCTGGAGCTGTACTGCTATGACACGCAGTGCTTGGCGTGCTTGACTGCGCAGTGCCACGCCATGCCATGCCATAGCGCGATTCAATCTTCATCGCCATGCTATGCTCTACCATGCTATGCTATGCATCGCGCTTCTCTCGGGATCGTGATCCTCCTCGACGTCCGACCGTTCGAGTAGAGAGGGGCTCTGCGCAGTTCTGAGGGGGTGGGAGGGCGGGGTAGCACGTCAGATACGACGCGAGCGCACCCAGCTTGCCCCTCCCCTCTCCTCCCTCCCTCCACTCCTTGCCCCCTTCCTTGGAAGAGGAGGAGGAGGAGGAGGAGGAGGAGGAGGAGGGAGGAGGAGGAGGAGGAGGAGGAGGCGGCGCGGGAGGAGGAGGAGGCAGGAGGAGGAGAGGAGAGGAGGAGGAAGGAGGGAGGAGGAGGAAGGAGGAGGAGGAGGAGGAGGAGGA